ATCTCCATACACTACATGTGCCCCTGGCTATCTGTAAATTAAAAAAACTACAAGAAAATCGATGTATACTTTTACTTTTGATACTTAAGTATTAATTCCATTTACTTTTTGTAGTATTTTACTGGGTGACCAACTTTTACTTGAGTCATTTTCTATTAAGGTATCTTTACTTTTACTCAAGTATGACAATTGGGTACTTTTTCCACCACTGGGAAAACATCAACAGGTAAACTGGCCGTTGACTATGACGTTAACATCGATCAAAATGTTCCTGCATTAACGTTGCAGATGTTACACTATATCACATTCGCACCATATTATCTGACTAAGCCACCCACAAGGTTTAACACGTTGCAAATCAAACTGGTATTCCCCTTGTGTGGAGGCCAGTCGAGTCATAAGCATAATGTAAGGTTCCACATGTGGTCTTTCTGGTTCGGCTGCCGCTAGTTCAGCTCTTCTTTCCTCCCTGTGATCTGCCTGAAAACTGTAAGTTAACCAGTTTATTACTCTGCTGTCATATTCACGCCGTCATATGATCGATCATGTGGTCTAAATTAAAACCATACATGGACAAGCATACATTTCCTGTAATGGATGGTTGTAGCCAAGCCTACTGTACATTTTAAACAACTTGGTGTGTATAACTTGTTGAAATTAAAATGTTGTTTGATCCTGTAATTAATTATGGTCCAAAACATGTGATATTATTATAATAATAATAATATGGCATTTAGCAGACGCTTTTATCCAAAGCGACTTACAGTTATGTGTGCATACATTTTTACGTATGGGTGGTCACGGGGATCGAACCCACTACCCTGGCGTTACAAGCGCGGTGATCTACCAGCTGAGCTACAGAGGACCACGTTATATAAGGGACTATTACATTTATTATGAAAATGTATGCACTCACTAACTGTAAGTCGCTCTGGATAAGAGCGTCTGCTAAATGACTAAAATGTAAAAATGTAACGTTATTTCGTTTTGCTATGAAATGTCCTGTCATTATGGGATGGAATTATCATGATTACTAATACACTGATGGTTCTTTCCCCATAGAGAACTATAGACAGTGGAATTTCTAAAACTCTACTTGGTTTCTTCTCGGTCGGAAACGTCGTCAGATCTACGGGAAAGGAAGTGACCGCAGAAAGGGGATTTCTACAGATCAGAAACATTTCTGGAGGGTGAGTCACTGGTCTAACGACATGAGGATAGGGGCTTCACTGTGGTGTTTGACCAGGGTTCAGGCAGGGTTGTCGGTCTGTTGTATTTGACCAGGGTTCAGGCAGGGTTGTCGGTCTGTGGTGTTTGACCAGTGTTCAGGCAGGGTTGTCGGTCTGTGGTGTTTGACCAGTGTTCAGGCAGGGTTGTCGGTCTGTGGTGTTTGACCAGTGTTCAGGCAGGGTTGTCGGTCTGTGGTGTTTGACCAGGGTTCAGGCAGGGTTGTCGGTCTGTTGTATTTGACCAGTGTTCAGGCAGGGTTGTCGGTCTGTTGTATTTGACCAGTGTTCAGGCAGGGTTGTCGGTCTGTGGTGTTTGACCAGGGTTCAGGCAGGGTTGTCGGTCTGTTGTATTTGACCAGTGTTCAGGCAGGGTTGTCGGTCTGTGGTGTTTGACCAGTGTTCAGGCAGGGTTGTCGGTCTGTGGTGTTTGACCAGGGTTCAGGCAGGGTTGTCGGTCTGTTGTATTTGACCAGTGTTCAGGCAGGGTTGTCGGTCTGTGGTGTTTGACCAGTGTTCAGGCAGGGTTGTCGGTCTGTGGTGTTTGACCAGGGTTCAGGCAGGGTTGTCGGTCTGTTGTATTTGACCAGGGTTCAGGCAGGGTTGTCGGTCTGTGGTGTTTGACCAGGGTTCAGGCAGGGTTGTCGGTCTGTGGTGTTGTGACTGTAATATTGACATTGTAGCCCCTGGAAGCACGTAGCTAGCTAGCTAGCAGTAACGGCTGACAACAATGGAATGACGCCATTTAGCTACACAGACAACACCAGCTAACACTCGTTAAAACTAAGTGTCACCATCTCAGACAATGAATACATGTTTCTGCACCACATTTAAAATGTGGAATTACAGCAGATCCCGAATGTTGTACAGGAGGGAAAATGTAAGTAGTTGGAAAAAAAGCAATATGACTTCGTGCGCCATATACGTTAATGTTCTGCCATTTTAGCCTAACTTGACTGCGCTAGCTAGCTACGTAGCTGAATGCCGCTGTAGCTAGCTAGTTAGCTGGCTGTATTTTAAAATATAGTACGTGGTGTGTGCGTGTAAGCTACATTAAACCTGGTCTGAGGAAAACACTGTACATAAGTGGTATGATAAAATCTTCACTGTGTAGCTATGTGTCCTTTTCTAGGACCGATTCATTCCCTCCAATTCAAAAGCAGGAAGTTCTGAACCCGCCACACCTGCTGTTGTCTGAATATGTTTTAACCACGTAGCTATGTAATGCATTCATTACAGGGGAAATCAACCAGTAGGACACATTCTATTCATGCGATGTTCCTCTGTCTGTTGTCTGAATATGGAATTAGCTGTATGTAATTTAGCTGTAATTTGGACCTCAGGAAGAGTAGCAGGTGCCTCGGCACCAGCTAATTGTGGATCCTAATAAATACTACTACTACAACATTCTACTAATGTGATATTTCTGTCTCCCCTACAGGTGTTATCAACATTTATGCAGTAAAGGAGGACAACTTTTATTCTTCCATTAAACCTTCCTCTCTGACAGATAAAGTTATTTCTTGGTCTGGTTAATCTCTGCTGCCATGGAGACCTAAACTACCCCAGGAGGGATGTTCCACTCAGGGGGAGAGGGTTGACCAGCCATACCCAGGGCTGTGTGTGTGTGTGTGTGTGTCTGTGTGTGTGTGTGTGTGTGTGTGTGTGTGAGAGTTCTGTCCATATTCACCATGTCTTACGTTGACATCAAATCCCAAATCTCAGCCCCCATACACACAGCCATGCGTTCAGAGTTGAGTCGGTTGGTGAGTGGTGTGTCAGGGAGACCAGAGAGTGTGTTGGTGAGTCAGGGAGAACAGAGAGTGTGTTGGTGAGTCAGGGAGAACAGAGAGTGTGTTGGTGAGTCAGGGAGAACAGAGAGTGTGTTGGTGAGTCAGGGAGAACAGAGAGTGTGTTGGTGAGTCAGGGAGAACAGAGAGTGTGTTGGTGAGTCAGGGAGAACAGAGAGTCTGTTGGTGAGTCAGGGAGAACAGAGAGTGTGTTGGTGAGTCAGGGAGAACAGAGAGTCTGTTGGTGAGTCAGGGAGAACAGAGGTTGTTGGTGAGTCAGGGAGAACAGAGAGTCTGTTGGTGAGTCAGGGAGAACAGAGAGTCTGTTGGTGAGTCAGGGAGAACAGAGAGTCTGTTGGTGAGTCAGGGAGAACAGAGAGTCTGTTGGTGAGTCAGGGAGAACAGAGAGTGTGTTGGTGAGTCAGGGAGAACAGAGAGTGTGTTGGTGAGTCAGGGAGAACAGAGAGTGTGTTGGTGAGTCAGGGAGACCAGTTCTCTCTGATCCAGGATGATCCATAAGACAATGTTATTATTAAGATTTTATTTCAGTTGAACATTATACCTGTCTGTGTGACCAGGGGACAGGACTGAGGTTATATACCTGTCTGTCTGTCTGTCTGTGACCAGGGGACAGGGCTGAGGTTATATACCTGTCTGTCTGTCTGTCTGTGACCAGGGGACAGGGCTGAGGTTATATACCTGTCTGTGACCAGGGGACAGGGCTGAGGTTATATACCTGTCTGTCTGTCTGTCTGTCTGTGACCAGGGGACAGGGCTGAGGTTATATACCTGTCTGTCTGTCTGTCTGTCTGTGACCAGGGGACAGGGCTGAGGTTATATACCTGTCTGTCTGTCTTTTCTGTCTGTGACCAGGGGACAGGGGTGAGGTTATTACCTTTCTGTGACCAGGGGACAGGGCTGAGGGTTTTATACCTGTCTGTGACCAGGGGACAGGGCTGAGGTTATATACCTGTCTGTGACCAGGGGACAGGGCTGAGGTTATATACCTGTCTGTGACCAGGGGACAGGGCTGAGGTTATATACCTGTCTGTCTGTCTGTCTGTCTGTGACCAGGGGACAGGGCTGAGGTTATATACCTGTCTGTGACCAGGGGACAGGACTGAGGTTATATACCTGTCTGTCTGTCTGTGACCAGAGGACAGGGCTGAGGTTATATACCTGTCTGTCTGTCTGTCTGTCTGTCTGTGACCAGGGGACAGGGCTGAGGGGATCCACCTGATGTGGTTGCGTTGCTATCAGGAGCGGACAGAGTGGTGTGGCCTAGTCTGGTGGTTACAGACAGGCAGGCAGGCAGGCAGGCGGGCAGGCAGACAGACAGACAGGCAGACAGACAGACAGACAGGCAGACAGGCAGACAGTCCTCTGTGGCTCAGACATGACTGACTGTACTCGCTTTCTATAAAATAATCTGCTAAATGGCATATTGTGATATATTATTGTGACAGACATTTTTCTGGCATATTGTGATATATTATTGTGACAGACAGTTTTCTGGCATATTGTGATATATTATTGTGACAGACATTTTTCTGGCATATTGTGATATATTATTGTGACAGACAGACAGTTTTCTGGCATATTGTGATATATTATTGTGACAGACAAGGCGGTTTTCTGTTTCTCTTCTTTAGGTTTCTATTGTCATCAGAGCAGTCAGATCAGTTCTGTTTCATCAGAAAACTCTTCAGTTTCATTTACAGGCTGATGTGTGAGATGACGGAGAACGCATCCTATTTCCATCAATCACATGGCTGTGTGTGTGCAGGAGCCTGTGTGTGTGTGTGTGTGTGTGTGTGTGTGCAGGAGCCTGTGTGTGTGTGTGTGTGTGTGTGTGTTTCCCTGCCCTGGGTATACTTATCCCTCTCTCTCTGAGGAGAACAGCCCTTCCTTTTCTCTAATTCTGCAAACTCTAATACCTGTATATCTAGACTGTCTATATCTAGCCTGTATAACCTATCTGTAAATGGACACCCTGGTCCATCTCCGGAACAGCCCGTTCCTCATGGGTCTGTGTCGGAACGGAGCCCCAGCTGACCTGCAGTATGACAACTCTTCAGGTACGACACACACACACACACACACACACACACAGACAGACAGACAGACAGACACACACACACACACACGTTAGACACACCCTGCAGTACGACAACTCTTCAGGAACGACTCACTCACACAGGGCCTAAAATAAACATCCGATTTTTGCATTGGCGGTAAGATGTCTATTTCACCAGCCACATTGGCGGGTGGTCAGGGCTCCACAGTGCAAAGAACAACGAATCCTCGAATATCCAACCTTGTTCGACTTGAAGCAACTGCCTGGCTGAGCAGCTGTGTATACTGTGATTGAAGTGCTATCATTCATGGACATTAGTCATGGAAATATCTGTGTGACGCATGCATGGGACTAGTGAAAGAAACATATTTGCTCTCTCATCAATGTATGACTGTCAAAACACTGCTATTGTGAACCACTAATCTAATTTTGGGTGGAGGGTGGGATGGGAACTGTTTGTCTTGTTCGTCTGGTCACATGTTTCTCTGTCTAGGTGTACCTGTTTTGTGTACCTTTCTTAAAAAAAACACAAAAAACATTTGATCACAAAAAATTAAGTAATATTAAAACTATACACTACTTGACCAAAAGTATGTGGACACGTGCTCGTCGAACATCTCATTCCAAAATCATGGGCATTAATATGGAGTTGGTCCCCCCTTTGCTGCTATAACAGCCTCCACTCTTCTGGGAAGGCTTTCCACTAGATGTTGGAACATTGCTGCAGGGACTTGCTTCCATTCAGCCACAAGAGCATTAGTGAGGTCGGGCACTGATGTTGGGCGATTAGGCCTGGCTCGCAGTCGGCGTTCCAATTCATCCCAAAGGTGTTTGATGACCTCGCTTTGTGCACAGGGGTATTGTCATGCTGAAACAGGAAGGGCCTTCCTCAAACTGTTGCCACAAAGTTAGAAGCACAGAATGTCACAGAATGTCGTCTAGAATGTCATTGTAGGCTGTAGCGTTGAGATTTCCCTTCACTGGAACTAAGGGGCCTAGCCCGAACCATGAAAAACAGCCCCAGACCATTATTCTTCCTCCACCAAATGCTACAGTTGGCACTATACATTGGGGCAGGTAGCGTTCTCCTGGCTTCCGCCAAACCCAGATTCGTCCGTCGGACTACCAGATGGTGAAGCGTGATTCATCACTCCAGAGAACATGTTTCCACTGCTTCAGAGTCCAATGGCGGCGAGCTTTACACCACTCCACCCAACGCTTGGCATTTCGCATGGCGCAGTGGTCTAAGGCACTGCATCGCAGTGCTAGCTGTGCCACTAGAGATCCTGGTTTGAATCCAGGCTCTGCTGTAGCCGGCCGCAACCGGGAGACCAATGGGGCGGCGCACAATTGGCCCAGCGTCGTCCAGGGTAGGGGAGGGAATGGCAGGCAGGGAGGTAGCTCAGTTGATAGAGCATGGCGTTTGCAACGCCAGGGTTGTGGGTTCGTTTCCCACGGGGGGCCAGTATGAAAATAATAATGTATGCACTAACTGTAAGTCGCTCTGGATAAGAGCGTCTGCTAAATTACTAAAATGTAAAATGTAAATGTAATCTTAGGTTTGTGTGCGGCTGCTCAGCCATGGAAACGCATTTCATGAAGCTCCCGACGAACAGTTATTGTGCTGACGTTGCTTCCAGAGGCAGTTTGGAACTCAGTAGTGAGTGTTGCAACCGAGGACAGACGACCTTTACGTGCTTCAGCACTCGGTGGTCCCGTTCTGTGAGCTTGTGTGGCCTACCACTTCGCGGCTGAGCCGTTGTTGATCCTAGACGTTTCCACTTCACAATAACAGCACTTACAGTTGACCGGGGCAGCTCTAGCAGGGCAGACATTTTATGAACTGACTTGTTGGAAAGGTGGCATCCTATGACGGTGCCATGTTGAAAGTCACTGAGCTCTTCAGTGAGGTCATTCTACTGCCAATGTTTGTCTATGGAGATTGCATGGCTGTGTGCTCGATTTTATACACCTGTCAGCAACGGGTGTGGCTGAAATAGCCGAATCCACTCATTTGAATGGGTGTCCACATACTTTTGTATATACATTGCATTCGTAAAGTATTCATACCCCTTTTTCCACATTTCGTTACGTTACAGCCTTATTCTGAAATGTATTCAATTGTTTTTTTCCCTCATCAATCTACACACAATACCCCATAATGACAAAGCAAAAACAGGTTTTTAGAAATGTTTGCAAATGTATTAAAAAGAAAGAACTGATCACATTTACATAAGTATTCAGACCATTTACTCAGTACTTTGTTGAAGCACCTTTGGCAGCGATTACAGCCTCGAGTCTTCTTGGGTATGACGCTACAAGCTTGGCACACCTGTATTTGGGGAGTTTCTCCCATTCTTCTCTGCAGATCCTCTCAAGCTCTGTCAGGTTGGATGGGGAGCGTCGCTGCACAGCTATTTTCAGGTCTCTCCAGAGATGTTTGATCGGGTTCAAGTCCGGGCTCTGGCTGGGCCACTCAAGGACATTCAGAGACTTGTCCCGAAGCCACTTCTGCATTGTCTTGGCTGTGTGCTTACGGTTGTTGTCCTGTTGGAAGTTGAACATTCACCCCAGTCTGAGGTCCTGAGCGCTCTGGAGCAGGTTTTCATCAAGGATCTCTCTGTACTTTGCGCCGTTCATCTTTCCCTCGATCCTGACTAGTCTCCTAGTCCCTGCTGCTGAAAAACATCCCCACAGCATGATGCTGCCACCACCAGGGATTGTGGCAGGTTTCCTCCAGATGTGACGCTTGGCATTCAGGCCAAAGAGTTCAATCTTGGTTTCTTCAGACTAGAGAATCTTGTTTCTCATGGTCTGAGAGTCCTTTAGGTGCCTTTTGGCAAACTCCAAGCAGGCTGTCATGTGCCGTTTTACAGAGGAGTGGCTTCCGTCTGGCCACTCTACCATAAAGGCCTGATTGGTGGAGTGCTGTAGAAATGGTTGTCCTTCTGGAAGGTTCTCCCATCTCCACAGAGAAACTCTGGAGCTCTGTCAGAGTGACCATCGGGTTCTTGGTCCCCTCCCTGACCAAGGCCCTTCTCCCCCGATTGCTCAGTCTGGCCGGGCGGCCAGCTCTAAGAAGAGTCTTGGTGGTTCAAAACATCTTCCATTTAAGAATGATGGAGGCCACTGTGTTCTTGGGGACATTCAATGCTGCTGACTTTTTTTGGTACCCTTCCCCAGATCTGTGCCTCGACACAATCCTGTCTCGGAGCTCTACGGACAATTCCTTCGACCTCATAGCTTGGTTTTTGCTCTGACATGCACTTTCAACTGTGGGACCTTATATAGACAGGTGTGTGCCTTTCCAAATCATGTCCAATCAATTGAATTTACCACAGGTGGACTCCAATCAAGTTGTAGAAACATCTCAAGGATGATCAATGGAAACAGCATGCACCTGAGCTCCATTTAGAGTCTCATAGCTAAGGGTCTGAATACTTATGTAAATAAGGTATTTCTGTTCCATAACCTGTTTTTGCTTTGTCATTATGGGTTATTGTGTGTAGATTGATGAAAACATTTAATTTAATCCATTTTAGAATAAGGCTGTAATTTAAAAAAATGTGGAAAGGTCAAGGGGTCTGAATTCCCAATGCAATGTACCACATTACTTCTTACTAGTAATACATGTATTGTTTTAGAAACATTACAACGCATGCTCATCTGGGTTTTATTTGGTGTAAAACACACACACCTACCTTAGACAAGCTGTACACACCTACCTTAGACAAGCTGTACACACCTACCTTAGACAAGCTGTACACACCTACCTTAGACAAGCTGTACACACCTACCTTAGACAAGCTGTACACACCTACCTTAGACAAGCTGTACACACCTACCTTAGACAAGCTGTACACACCTACCTTAGACAAGCTGTACACACCTACCTTAGACAAGCTGTACACACCTACCTTAGACAAGCTGTACACACCTACCTTAGACAAGCTGTACACACCTACCTTAGACAAGCTGTACACACCTACCTTAGACAAGCTGTACACACCTACCTTAGACAAGCTGTACACACCTACCTTAGACAAGCTGTACACACCTACCTTAGACAAGCTGTACACACCTACCTTAGACAAGCTGTACACACCTACCTTAGACAAGCTGTACACACCTACCTTAGACAAGCTGTACACACCTACCTTAGACAAGCTGTACACACCTACCTTAGACAAGCTGTACACACCTACCTTAGACAAGCTGTACACACCTACCTTAGACAAGCTGTACACACCTACCTTAGACAAGCTGTACACACCTACCTTAGACAAGCTGTACACACCTACCTTAGACAAGCTGTACACACCTACCTTAGACAAGCTGTACACACCTACCTTAGACAAGCTGTACACACCTACCTTAGACAAGCTGTACACACCTACCTTAGACAAGCTGTACACACCTACCTTAGACAAGCTGTACACACCTACCTTAGACATGCTGTACACACCTACCTTAGACAAGCTGTACACACCTACCTTATAAAGTTGTGATTATTATTTTCTCCTCAGAACTGTTTCGTATCTCCACCTTCGCCCGCTTCCCGGCAGTGGCGGTTACAGAGCGCACCCTGGCCAGGGCAGGATGGTTCTATACTGGCGTTGGAGACAGAGTGCAGTGTTTCAGGTGGGTGATGGTTCTATACTGGGGTTGGAGACAGGGGGCAGTGTTTCAGGTGGGTGATGGTTCTATACTGGGGTTGGAGACAGGGGGCAGTGTTTCAGGTGGGTGATGGTTCTATACTGGGGTTGGAGACAGGGTGCAGTGTTTCAGGTGGGTGATGGTTCTATACTGGGTTTGGAGACAGGGGGCAGTGTTTCAGGTGGGTGATGGTTGGAGACAGGGGGCAGTGTTTCAGGTGGGTGATGGTTGGAGACAGGGGGCAGTGTTTCAGGTGGGTGATGGTTCTATACTGGGGTTGGAGACAGGGGGCAGTGTTTCAGGTGGGTGATGGTTCTATACTGGGGTTGGAGACAGGGGGCAGTGTTTCAGGTGGTTATCATCGCCACGTCCTGTTCCAGGTGTAACGTGACATCTAATTGTGTAATTGATTTGTTCCTGTTCCAGGTGTAACGTGACATCTAATTGTGTAATTGATTTGTTCCTTGTCCAGGTGTAACGTGACATCTAATTGTGTAATTGATTTGTTCCTGGTCCAGGTGTAACGTGACATCTAATTGTGTAATTGATTTGTTCCTGGTCCAGGTGTAACGTGACATCTAATTGTGTAATTGATTTGTTCCTGGTCCAGGTGTAACGTGACATCTGATTGTGTAATTGATTTGTTCCTGGTCCAGGTGTAACGTGACGGTGGAGGGCTGGCAGACAGGGGACTGTCCTGCTGAGACACACCGACAGCTCTCTCCCTCCTGTTCCTTCATCCAGACTCTACCCTCCACTGCCAACCTCCTCTCCTCTTCTCACAGCGCCTTCTCTCCGCTATGCAGCACACCCGTCATACCGGTGAGATGATGATTGTGGTGATGATGATGATGGAATGACTGGGGTGGTGATGATGATTGTGGTGATGATGTTTATGATGATGATGATGGAATGACTGGGGTGGTGGTGATGGAATGACTGGGATGATGATGATGGAATGACTGGGGTGGTGATGATGGAATGACTGGGGTGGTGATGATGGAATGACTGGGGTGGTGATGATGGAATGACTGGGGTGGTGATGATGGAATGACTGGGGTGATGATGGTGTGACTGGGGTGGTGATGATGGTGTGACTGGGGTGGTGATGATGGTATTGGTGGTGGTGGTGATGATGGTATTGGTGGTGGTGGTGATGATGGTATTGGTGGTGGTGGTGATGATGGTATGGTGGTGGTGGTGGTGATGATGGTATTGGTGGTGTGGTGGTGGTGGTGATGATGGTATTGGTGGTGGTGGTTTCTGATGATGATGATGATGGTATTGGTGGTGGTGGTGGTGATGATGGTATTGGGGGTGGTGGTGGTGGTGGTGGTGATGATGGTATTGGTGGTGATGATGGTATTGGTGGTGGTGGTGGTGGGGGTGGTGGTGATGATGGTATTGGTGGTGATGATGGTATTGGTGGTGATGATGGTATTGGTGGTGGTGGTGGTTGGTGGTGGTTTCTGATGATGATGATGATGGTGGTGGGGATGATGATGTCTGATGTCTAATAACGTGTGTTATCTCCCCCAGGTGTCAGGCCCTGGCCCAGCCCCCCTCCCCGTCTCTGCCCCTAACCCCGTCCCCAACCCGGTGCCGGGTGACGAGACGATTGGATATTTGAATATGGGGTTCTCTGCCCCGCCCCCCTCCAGCCTACTGAGCTCCCGAGAAGTAGAGGACATGTAAGGCTCTGATTGACTGGCTGTTTCTACGCTCTGATTGGCTGGCTGTTTCTACGCTCTTATTGGCTGGCTGTTTCTACGCTCTTATTGGCTGGCTGTTTCTACGCTCTGATTGGCTGGCTGTTTCTACGCTCTGATTGGCTGGCTGTTTCTACGCTCTTATTGGCTGGCTGTTTCTACGCTCTGATTGGCTGGCTGTTTCTACGCTCTGATTGTCTGGCTGTTTCTACGCTCTTATTGGCTGGCTGTTTCTACGCTCTTATTGGCTGGCTGTTTCTACGCTCTGATTGGCTGGCTGCACTAACATTTTATTTAAGCATTTTTTTGTATTTGTCAAATGTTCTCTGAAACCTTTCTGTAGATGTTACCAGATAAATATTCAATAACACTAGTTTACTACACTAGATTATAGTAATAGTTATAGTAGTGGTAGTGTCTACAGTAGTAATGGTAGTGACTGGTTATAGTTATAGTAATGGTAGTGACTGGTTATAGTTATAGTAGTGGTAGTGTCTACAGTAGTAATGGTAGTGACTGGTTATAGTTATAGTAGTGGTAGTGTCTACAGTAGTAATGGTAGTGACTGGTTATAGTTATAATAGGCGTTGGTCTGAAGTCAAAAAAGAAAGGAAATTCACATGAGCACCACAATGCCAACTCCACCCATGCTCCACCAAGGTTTTCCAGCACGCAGCTTTGACCTACTACCATTGACATGGAGTTATATTTTGTAGGTTACTGTCTAATGTGTAGGCCTAACAATGTGCACAATGACGTGCTGTATCACGTCAGTATCTAATGTTAAGGTAAGATCTGAATGGCTGATCCGAGAGCATCAGTATGGGCACATGGTCCAACAACGCACTTATTGAAAGTTCTTCTTATGTGGTGTTTTGGGAAACCCGTGAGTTCTTCGGCCGTTATAGAAACGATGCATCATTAAAACACTTGTAACCTTAAAGGGGCAATCAGCAGTTGCTACATCCATTTTTGGATTTATAAATTAATGATATGTACCCATTTGATTCTTGAAGAATATAACTTAGAAATACCTCACAAGCTTAGTTCAAAAGTCGTACCCCATCAGAACCCAAAATATATTTTACTCCAATGTTTGTAACATTTTTAACAAACACTATATAGCCTCATAACATGGTTAAAACTATAATTTTGATATCATGGATGGTCGATCCTTGCATCCATAGAATTGGAGAGTGGTTACATTTCTCCAGCCACATCCCTCTGCTTTTTACCGAACCAGTTACTCAAAGTACTGAATAAATTGGCATTCGAAAAAATAAATATATATATATAATAATCCGGGGGAGTCCCCCCAAACCCCCCTCCAGGTGTTTACTAGTAGTTGATGGCTACTTCCTACTAAGGGGACCTACGCCAACGTCTTTTTTTTGGTGCGGCCTTGATTTCAATGTCCACCGACGGGACTCCCTAAAACCATGCAATTTCAAAACAAGTGACTTTTTGTAGCAGGTTAGGATTAATTAGCATTTCAGCTAACCCTTTTCCTAACCCTAACCCTAACCCTTTTCCTAACCCTAACCCTAACCCTTTTCCTAACCCTAACCCTTTTCCTAACCCTAACCCTAACCCTAACCCTTTTCCTAACCCTAACCCTTTTCCTAACCCTAACCCTTTTCCTAACCCTAACCCTAACCCTAACCCTTTTCCTAACCTGCTGCGAAAAAGTCGTAGCTGTATCGAAGTGGCGTGTTTTTAGGGAATTTTGTTCACAGATGTTGATTTTTGGTCTGGTTTGGACCAAATCTGAACCAATCATAGACTTCTATATTTCACAAGTTTGGACAGTACAGTGGAGTAGTTGTTCTCCGACCTCTCCGTGGGGACCCCAGGCCGTTCTGTCATTGGTCTATTCCAGAGCTAGCACACCTGATTCAACTCATCCTCAAGCTCTTGAATAACTACACTGATCAAAAATATAAACTCAACATGTAAAGTGTTGGTCCCATGTTTCATGAGCTGAAATAAAAGATCCCAGACATTTTTCCATATGCACAAAAAGTTCTAATCATTACACAGGTGCACCTAGCGCTGGGGACAATAAAAGGCCATTCTAAAATGTGTGTTTTGTCACACAACACAATGCAACATATGTTTCAAGTTTTGAGGGAGCACGCAATTGACATGCTGACTGCAGGAATGTCCACCAGAGCTGTTGCCAGAGAATTGAATGTTCATTTCTCTACCATAAGCCGCCTCCAACGTCGTCTTAGACAATTTGGCAGTACGTCTATCCGGCCTCACAACCGCAGACCAGGTGTAACCACGCCAACCCAGGACCTCCACATCCAGCTTCTTCACCTGTGCGATCGTCTGAGGGGGGGTGCTGCGGAGTATTTCTGTCTGTAATAAAGCCCTTTTGTGGGGAAAAACTCATTCTGATTGGCTAGGCCTGGCTGCCAAGTGGGTGGGCCTATGCCCTCCAAGGCCCACCCATGGCTGCATCCCTGCCCAGTCATGTGAAATCTATAGATTAGGGCCTAATTTATCTTATTTCAATTGACTGACCGGCGCGAACTCTAGAGTTGCCTTCAGCAAGCACACCTAATAAGAAGTATGTTGAATATTTAAAGTGGGGACTCTTTCATCGCAAGCCCCATTTATTAATAATGCTATATAAAAGGATGTTGTGTTGTCACAGTGTAATGTGTTGTTTTACTGGGTCAGCCATAGTAGTATGATAGGTGCAGTGTAATGTGTTGTTTTACAGGGTCAGCCATAGTAGTATGATAGGTCCAGTGTAATGTGTTGTTTTACAGAGTCAGCCATAGTAGTATGATAGGTGCAGTGTAATGTGTTGTTTTACAGGGTCAGCCCTAGTAGTATGATAGGTCCAGTGTAATGTGTTGTTCTACAGGGTCAGCCATAGTAGTATGATAGGTCCAGTGTAATGTGTTGTTTTACAGGGTCAGCCATAGTAGTATGATAGGTCCAGTGTAATGTGTTGTTCTACAGGGTCAGCCATAGTAGTATGATAGGTCCAGTGTAATGTGTTGTTCTACAGGGTCAGCCATAGTAGTATGATAGGTCCAGTGTAATGTGTTGTTATACAGGGTCAGCCATAGTAGTATGATAGGTCCAGTGTAATGTGTTGTTTTACAGGGTCAGCCATAGTAGTATGATAGGTCCAGTGTAATGTGTTGTTCTACAGGGTCAGCCATAGTAGTATGATAGGTCCAGTGTAATGTGTTGTTTTACAGGGTCAGCCATAGTAGTATGATAGGTCCAGTGTAATGTGTTGTTTTACAGGGTCAGCCATAGTAGTATGATAGGTCCAGTGTAATGTGTTGTTTTACAGGGTCAGCCATAGTAGTATGATAGGTCCAGTGTAATGTGTTGTTCTACAGGGTCAGCCATAGTAGTATGATAGGTCCAGTGTAATGTGTTGTTTTACAGGGTCAGCCATAGTAGTATGATAGGTGTTGTTTTACAGGGTCAGCCATAGTAGTATGATAGGTGCAGTGTAATGTGTTGTTTTACAGGGTCAGCCATAGTAGTACGGTGCCCCTATATCTGATGATGTATCTGTAGGTCCCACCAGACACCCGCTACCAGTCACAACCCCAGTATGAGGAGAGAGCAGGACCGTCTGGACTCCTTCCACTCCTGGCCCCTGTCCATCATCACCCCCTCTGAGCTGGCCAAGGCTGGTTTCTACTACCTGGGACAGGGAGATCGCGTGGCCTGCTTCACCTGTGGAGGACAGGTATACTATTGTACTACTATTACTACTACTACTACTATATACTACATTTTACATTTGACGTTGTTAGTCATTTAGCAGGACATGCTTATCCACAGCAATTTACAGTAGTAATATTATACATACGTCAACATTTAACATGACTTAAACAAATCCAAGATTCCCCCCCCCCAAATCCAAGTCTAAGTCTACTGTAACAAACCTCCTTAAACACAAAGCCTAACTTCTGGATTCATGGACGTTCTGCATGGATTGATCTGTTTCCTCTCTGTATCTCTAGCGCTGAGTAATGTGGAGCCAGGTGTGGTGATTTGATTGATTGATGGGTTGATAAAGTGAATTATTGATTCATCAGTCTGTCTCTGTATTTCTAGTTCAGGGGTGCCCATATTTTTGGACTTGGTGGGCCAAAATATAATCTGGGTGGTGGGCCAAGATATAATCTGAGTGGTGGGCCAAGATATAATCTGAGTGGTGGGCCAAGATATAATCTGAGTGGTGGGCCAAGATATAATCTGAGTGGTGGGCCAAGATATAATCTGAGTGGTGGGCCAAGATATAATCTGAGTGGTGGGCCAAGATATAATCTGGGTGGTGGGCCAAGATATAATCTGAGTGGTGGGCCAAGATATAATCTGAGTGGTGGGCCAAGATATAATGTGGGTGGTGGGCCAAAATATAATCTGAGTGGTGGGCCAAGCTATAATCTGAGTGGTGGGCCAAGATATAATCTGAGTGGTGGGCCAAAATATAATCTGGGTGGTGGGCCAAAATATAATCTGAGTGGTGGGCCGCAGCTGGAACAAATAGACATTACCTATTTACAAATGGTAAACTATAATAGCTTTTTAGGGTCTTTAAACACTACTTATTTAGTAAGTAATCATAAATACACACTTCAAACAATCAAATTGTAGCCAAATAACTTTCCACCTAACAACACATTCTGATGGACAGTATTGTTAATGTATTTAGTAAGGAACATACATTTAAAGAACACTTTTTAAAGAGGAACATTGATACAATACACACCAGTAGGGGTGTAACAGTACTGTTAGGCACAGGGACCTCGGATCAGGCCACGCTGTTAGGTACAGGGACCTCGGTTCAGGCTGCGCTGTTAGGCACAGGGACCGCGGTTCAGGCTGCGCTGTTAGGCACAGGGACCTCGGTTCAGGCTGCGCTGTTAGGCACAGGGAACTCGGTTCAGGCTGCGCTGTTAGGCACAGGGACCTCGGTTCAGGCTGCGCTGTTAGGTACAGGGACCTCGGTTCAGGCTGCGCTGTTAGGTACAGGGACCTCGGTTCAGGCTGCGCTGTTAGGCACAGGGACCTCGGATCAGGCCATGCTGTTAGGTACAGGGACCTCGGATCAGGCCATGCTGTTAGGTACAGGGACCTCGGATCAGGCCATGCTGTTAGGTACAGGGACCTCGGTTCAGGCCGCGCTGTTAGGTACAGGGAACTCGGTTCAGGCTGCGCTGTTAGGCACAGGGACCCTTGTCTCACTCAGTAACTTTCCATACACCTAGTTCTTATCGACCCTCCATTGACCCCGACATACAGTGCATTCGGAAAGTATTCAGACCCCTTGACTTTTTTCACATTTTGTTACATTACAGCCTTATTCTAAAATTGATTAAATAGATTTTTTCCTCATCAATCTACACACAATACCGCATAATGACAAAGGGAAAAACAGGTATCATCAGACCAGAGAATCTTGTTTCTCATGGTCTGAGAGTCCTTTAGGTGCCTTTTGGCAAACTCCAAGCGGGCCTTTTACTGAGTGGCTTCCGTCCGATAAACAGTGCGATTAAAAACAACAACACAGAGTTACATATGGAATAAACAAAACGTACAGTCAATAACACAATAGAAAATATATATACAGTGTGTGCAAATGTAGTAAGTTATGGAGGTAAGGCAATAAATAGGACATAGTGCAAAATAGTTACAATTTAATATTAACACTGGAATGATAGATGTGCAAGAGATGATGTGCAAATAGAGATACTGGGGTGCAAATGAGCAAAATAAATAACAATATAGGGATGAGGTAGTTGGGTGGGCTAATTACAGATGGGCTGTGTACAGGTGCAGTGATCGGTAAGCTGCTCTGAAAACTGATGCTTAAAGTTAGTGAGGGAGATAAGAGTCTCCAGCTTCAGAGATTTTTGCAGTTCGTTCCAGTCATTGGCAGCAGAGAACTGGAAGGAATGGCGGCCAAAGGAGGTGTTGGCTTTGGGGATGACCAGTGAGATATACCTGCTGGAGCGCAGACTACGGGTGGGTGTTGCTATGGTGACCAATGAGCTAAGATAAGGCGGGGATTTGCCTAGAAGTGATTTATAGATGACCTGGAGCCAGTGGGTTTGGCGACAAATATGTAGTGAGGGCCAGACAACAAGAGCGTACAGGTCACAATGGTGGGTAGTATATGGGGCTTTGGTGACAAAACGGATGGCACTGTGATAGACTACATCAAATTTGCTGAGTAGAGTGTTGGAGGCTATTTTGTAAATGACATCGCCGAAGTCAAGGATCGGTAGGATAGTCAGTTTTACGAGGGCATGTTTGGCAGCATGAGTGAAGGAGGCTTTGTTGCGAAATAGGAAGCCAATTCTAGATTTAACTTTGGATTGGAGATGCTTCATGTGAGTCTGGAAGGAGAGTTTACAGTCTAACCAAACACCTAGATATTTGTAGTTGTCCACTGTTTAGAATGGTGTTTTCCCGCAAATTGCATTTTGGCAAAATTTCTGAAAATTACTTTTTATTGGCTGCTTCATTACAGGATTTGCATGTTCTGTTAAGATGAATGACCATAATCTAAAGGTGATTTCTGTCATTCTGAGCACCGTGGGTGGACGCCCTAATGGTTTACGCACCCAATGCATATGGGGCCGGTAAATGTCTCAAATGGCGGGTCAATTAAGATCTTCCCTGTCACGTTGTCCGGAGAGCGAAAGACATGATTGATGAATGTCTTTCCTCTCTGTGTGTCTCTAGCTCAGTAACTGGGAACCAGGGGACCGGGCCGTGTCGGAGCACCAGAGGCATTACCCCAACTGTCGCTTCGTCAGAGGAGACCGGGCCGACAACGTGTCCCTGGCGGGCGGGGCTAGGGGTGCAGCAGCCCCGGCCCCCGGCCCCCCCGGCCCCCCCCGGCCTCAGTAACGTGTCTAACCCAGCCATGCTGCAGCGTGAGGAGAGGCTTCTGACCTTCGTCCACTGGCCCTTACGGATCCCTGTACGCCCTGATCAGCTGGCCAAGGCAGGATTCTACTACGTCGGTGAGATAAATATTCAATATGTATTTCTTTAACATTTAGTTAACATGTATTTTATATATTTTTATCCAGGTAAGTCATTGGCAACAAATGCCCTGTTAGTATCCCCATAGACACTGTTCTTGTAAGTGTTCGGGGAACCTTGGAGCTCCTGGTGTTCCCCTGGGCTTTACCCAAACATTAACCAGTACCTCTGCACCTCGTAACTAGACCCTGTTCAACATTTACCAGTACCTCTGCACCTCGTAACCAGACCCTGTTCAACATTTACCAGTACCTCTGCACCTCGTAACTAGACCCTGTTCAACATTTACCAGTACCTCTGCACCTCGTAACCAGACCCTGTTCAACATTTACCAGTACCTCTGCACCTCGTAACCAGACCCTGTTCAACATTTACCAGTACCTCTGCACCTCGTAACCAGACCCTGTTCAACATTTACCAGTACCTCTGCACCTCGTAACCAGACCCTGTTCAACATTTACCAGTACCTCTGCACCTCGTAACTAGACCCTGTTCAACATTTACCAGTACCTCTGCACCTCGTAACCAGACCCTGTTCAACATTTACCAGTACCTCTGCACCTCGTAACTAGACCCTGTTCAACATTTACCAGTACCTCTGCACCTCCTAACCAGACCCTGTGTGTGTGTTGCAGGGCGTAATGATGATGATGATGATGATGATGATGGTGTGTGTTGCAGGGCGTAATGATGATGATGATGGTGTGTGTTGCAGGGCGTAATGATGATGATGATGGTGTGTGTTGCAGGGCGTAATGATGATGATGATGGTGTGTGTTGCAGGGCGTAATGATGATGATGATGGTGTGTGTTGCAGGGCGTAATGATGATGTGAAGTGTTTCTGCTGTGACGGGGGTCTGAGGTGCTGGGAGTCAGGTGACGACCCCTGGGTGGAGCACGCCAAATGGTTCCCTAGGTAACCACCCCTTACAGCACTGACATATTACGTGTGTGTGTGTGTGTGTGTGTGTGTGTGTTAGTGACTAGCAGGTTGAATAACTGGAAAATAGCTGACTACTGACTCTCCAGTACTATCAAAACTGGGCCAACTCACTCATCCCCTTCAGACTGGGTAACTCACTCATCCCCTTCAGACTGGGCCAACTCACTCATCCCCTTCAGACTGGGTAACTCACTCATCCCCTTCAGACTGGGTAACTCACTCATCCCCTTCAGACTGGGTAACTCACTCATCCCCTTCGGACTGGGTAACTCACTCATCCCCTTCAGACTGGGTAACTCACTCATCCCCTTCAGACTGGGTAACTCACTCATCCCCTTCAGACTGGGTAACTCACTCATCCCCTTCGGACTGGGTAACTCACTCATCCCCTTCAGACTGGGCCAACTCACTCATCCCCTTCAGACTGGGTAACTCACTCATCCCCTTCAGACTGGGTAACTCACTCATCCCCTTCAGACTGGGTAACTCACTCATCCCCTTCAGACTGGGTAACTCACTCATCCCCTTCAGACTGGGTAACTCACTCATCCCCTTCAGACTGGGTAACTCACTCATCCCCTTCAGACTGGGTAACTCACTCATCCCCTTCAGACTGGGTAACTCACTCATCCCCTTCAGACTGGGTAACTCACTCATCCCCTTCAGACTGGGTAACTCACTCATCCCCTTCGGACTGGGTAACTCACTCATCCCCTTCGGACTGGGTAACTCACTCATCCCCTTCGGACTGGGTAACTCACTCATCCCCTTCGGACTGGGTAACTCACTCATCCCCTTCGGACTGGGCCAACCCACTCATCCCCTTCAGACTGGGCCAACCCACTCATCCCCTTCGGACTGGGTAACTCACTCATCCCCTTCAGACTGGGTAACTCACTCATCCCCTTCAGACTGGGTAACTCACTCATCCCCTTCAGACTGGGCCAACCCACTCATCCCCTTCAGACTGGGCCAACCCACTCATCCACTTCAGACTGGGCCAACCCACTCATCCCCTTCAGACTGGGCCAACCCACTCATCCCCTTCAGACTGGGTAACTCACTCATCCCCTTCAGACTGGGTAACTCACTCATCCCCTTCAGACTGGGTAACTCACTCATCCCTTCAGACTGGGTAACTCACTCATCCCCTTCAGACTGGGTAACTCACTCATCCCCTTCAGACTGGGTAACTCACTCATCCCCTTCAGACTGGGTAACTCACTCATCCCCTTCAGACTGGGTACTCACCTCATCCCCTTCAGACTGGGCCAACCCACTCATCCCCTTCAGACTGGGTAACTCACTCATCCCCTTCGGACTGGGTAACTCACTCATCCCCTTCGGACTGGGTAACTCACTCATCCCCTTCGGACTGGGTAACTCACTCATCCCCTTCGGACTGGGTAACTCACTCATCCCCTTCAGACTGGGTAACTCACTCATCCCCTTCGGACTGGGTAACTCACTCATCCCCTTCGGACTGGGTAACTCACTCATCCCCTTCGGACTGGGTAACTCACTCATCCCCTTCGGACTGGGTAACTCACTCATCCCCTTCGGACTGGGTAACTCACTCATCCCCTTCGGACTGGGTAACTCACTCATCCCCTTCGGACTGGGTAACTCACTCATCCCCTTCGGACTGGGTAACTCACTCATCCCCTTCGGACTGGGTAACTCACTCATCCCCTTCGGACTGGGTAACTCACTCATCCCCTTCGGACTGGGTAACTCACTCATCCCCTTCGGACTGGGTAACTCACTCATCCCCTTCGGACTGGGTAACTCACTCATCCCCTTCGGACTGGGTAACTCACTCATCCCCTTCGGACTGGGTAACTCACTCATCCCCTTCGGACTGGGTAACTCACTCATCCCCTTCGGACTGGGTAACTCACTCATCCCCTTCGGACTGGGTAACTCACTCATCCCCTTCGGACTGGGTAACTCACTCATCCCCTTCGGACTGGGTAACTCACTCATCCCCTTCGGACTGGGTAACTCACTCATCCCCTTCGGACTGGGTAACTCACTCATCCCCTTCGGACTGGGTAACTCACTCATCCCCTCGGACTGGGTAACTCACTCATCCCCTTCGGACTGGGTAAACTCACTCATCCCCTTCGGACTGGGTAACTCACTCATCCCCTTCGGACTGGGCAACTCACTCATCCCCTTCGGACTGGGCAACTCACTCATCCCCTTCGGACTGGGCAACTCACTCATCCCCTTCGGGACTGGGCCAACCCACTCATCCCCTTCGGACTGGGCCAACCCACTCATCCCCTTCGGACTGGGCCAACCCACTCATCCCCTTCAGACTGGGCCAACCCACTCATCCCCTTCAGACTGGGTAACCCACTCATCCCCTTCAGACTGGGCCAACCCACTCATCCCTTCAGACTGGGCCAACTCACTCATCCCCTTCAGACTGGGCCAACTCACTCATCCCCTTCAGACTGGGTAACTCACTCATCCCCTTCAGACTGGGTAACTCACTCATCCCCTTCAGACTGGGTAACTCACTCATCCCCTTCAGACTGGGTAACTCACTCATCCCCTCAGACTGGGTAACTCACTCATCCCCTTCAGACTGGGTAACTCACTCATCCCCTTCGGACTGGGTAACTCACTCATCCCCTTCGGACTGGGTAACTCACTCATCCCCTTCGGACTGGGTAACTCACTCATCCCCTTCGGACTGGGCAACTCACTCATCCCCTTCGGACTGGGCAACTCACTCATCCCCTTCGGACTGGGCCAACCCACTCATCCCCTTCGGACTGGGCCAACCCACTCATCCCCTTCGGACTGGGCCAACCCACTCATCCCCTTCAGACTGGGCCAACCCACTCATCCCCTTCAGACTGGGTAACCCACTCATCCCCTTCAGACTGGGCCAACCCACTCATCCCCTTCAGACTGGGCCAACTCACTCATCCCCTTCAGACTGGGTAACTCACTCATCCCCTTCGGACTGGGTAACTCACTCATCCCCTTCAGACTGGGTAACTCACTCATCCCCTTCAGACTGGGTAACTCACTCATCCCCTTCAGACTGGGTAACTCACTCATCCCCTTCGGACTGGGTAACTCACTCATCCCCTTCGGACTGGGTAACTCACTCATCCCCTTCGGACTGGGTAACTCACTCATCCCCTTCAGACTGGGTAACTCACTCATCCCCTTCAGACTGGGTAACTCACTCATCCCCTTCAGACTGGGTAACTCACTCATCCCCTTCAGACTGGGTAACTCACTCATCCCCTTCAGACTGGGCCAACCCACTCATCCCCTTCGGACTGGGCCAACCCACTCATCCCCTTCAGACTGGGTAACTCACTCATCCCCTTCAGACTGGGTAACTCACTCATCCCCTTCAGACTGGGTAACTCACTCATCCCCTTCAGACTGGGTAACTCACTCATCCCCTTCAGACTGGGTAACTCACTCATCCCCTTCAGACTGGGCCAACCCACTCATCCCCTTCAGACTGGGCCAACCCACTCATCCCCTTCAGACTGGTCAACTCACTCATCCCCTTCAGACTGGGTAACTCACTCATCCCCTTCAGACTGGGTAAACTCACTCATCCCCTTCAGACTGGGTAACTCACTCATCCCCTTCAGACTGGGTAACTCACTCATCCCTTCAGACTGGTAACTCACTCATCCCCTTCAGACTGGGTAACTCACTCATCCCCTTCGGACTGGGTAACTCACTCATCCCCTTCAGACTGGGTAACTCACTCATCCCCTTCAGACTGGGTAACTCACTCATCCCCTTCAGACTGGGACCCCTCAGACTGGGCCAACCCACTCATCCCCTTCAGACTGGGTAATCACTCATCCCCTTCAGACTGGGTAACTCACTCATCCCCTTCAGACTGGGTAACTCACTCATCCCCTTCAGACTGGGTAACTCACTCATCCCCTTCAGGACTGGGTAACTCACTCATCCCCTTCAGACTGGGGTAACTCACTCATCCCCTTCAGACTGGGTAACTCACTCATCCCCTTCAGACTGGGTAACTCACTCATCCCTTCAGACTGGGTAACTCACTCATCCCCTTCGGACTGGGTAACTCACTCATCCCCTTCAGACTGGGTAACTCACTCATCCCCTTCAGACTGGGTAACTCACTCATCCCCTTCAGACTGGGCCAACCCACTCATCCCCTTCAGACTGGGTAACTCACTCATCCCCTTCAGACTGGGTAACTCACTCATCCCCTTCAGACTGGGTAACTCACTCATCCCCTTCAGACTGGGTAACTCACTCATCCCCTTCGGACTGGGTAACTCACTCATCCCCTTCAGACTGGGTAACTCACTCATCCCCTTCAGACTGGGTAACTCACTCATCCCCTTCAGACTGGGTAACTCACTCATCCCCTTCAGACTGGGTAACTCATTGTGTGTGTGTTAATGTCAGTATATATTAATGTGACTATGGTAACCTGTCAGTATATATTAATGTGACTATGGTAACCTGTCAGTATATATTAATGTTACTATGGTAACCTCCAGGTGTGTGTATATATTAATGTTACTATGGTAACCTCCAGGTGTCAGTATATATTAATGTGACTATGGTAACCTCCAGGTGTCAGTATATATTAATGTGACTATGGTAACCTCCAGGTGTCAGTATATATTAATGTGACTATGGTAACCTGTCAGTATATATTAATGTGACTATGGTAACCTGTCAGTATATATTAATGTGACTATGGTAACCTCCAGGTGTGTGTATATATTAATGTTACTATGGTAACCTCCAGGTGTCAGTATATATTAATGTGACTATGGTAACCTGTCAGTATATATTAATGTGACTATGGTAACCTCCAGGTGTCAGTATATATTAATGTGACTATGGTAACCTGTCAGTATATATTAATGTGACTATGGTAACCTCCAGGTGTCAGTATATATTAATGTGACTATGGTAACCTGTCAGTATATATTAATGTGACTATGGTAACCTCCAGGTGTCAGTATATATTAATGTGACTATGGTAACCTGTCAGTATATATTAATGTGACTATGGTAACCTGTCAGTATATATTAATGTGACTATGGTAACCTGTCAGTATATATTAATGTGACTATGGTAACCTGTCAGTATATATTAATGTGACTATGGTAACCTGTCAGTATATTTTAATGTAACTATGGTAACCTCCAGGTGTGTGTATATATTAATGTTACTATGGTAACCTCCAGGTGTGAGTACCTGCTCCAGGAGAAAGGTCAGGAGTTTGTCCATCAGATCCAGGCTCGCTTCCCTCGGCTCTTTGAACAGGTAACACCTGCTTCTGTTTATACACTGTATTCACACCTAACACCAATGACCTGTTATACACCGTATTCACACCTAACACCAATGACCTGTTATACACCGTATTCACACCTAACACCAATGACCTGTTATACACCGTATTCACACCTAACACCAATGACCTGTTATACACCGTATTCACACCTAACACCAATGACCTGTTATACACCGTATTCACACCTAACACCAATGACCTGTTATACACCGTATTCACACCTAACACCAATGACCTGTTTATACACTGTATTCACACCTAACACCAATGACCTGTTATACACTGTATTCACACCTAACACCAATGACCTGTTATACACCGTATTCACACCTAACACCAATGACCTGTTTATACACTGTATTCACACCTAACACCAATGACCTGTTATACACCGTATTCACACCTAACACCAATTACCTGTTATACACTGTATTCACACCTAACACCAATGACCTGTTATACACCGTATTCACACCTAACATCAAGCTGTCTGGTAGAACGTTGAGCTGTGATTCTAAAGATCCATCATCTGACTGATCTCAACATCAGTCAAAACAGGAAGTAAACTCTCCTGGCTCCTCCCCCTACAGCTCCTGACCAATGGGGACAGCATCTCCAGGGAGTTTGTGGACCCGCCAAGTGAGTGTCAATCAAAATGTTTGGACATTTGGTGTTTTGACAATATAGAACAAAAAAAAACGATTACATTATTATAGTTTTTTGAATTAGTTTTTTGAATATATAATCTTCTGTTGTTGTTGTTTCTAAGTGTTCTGTACTCTGTCTTGTGTTTAATGTGGACCCCAGGTAGAGTAGCTGCTGTGTTTACAGCTAATCAACTGAACACCTGACTGACCATCTTACTCAAAGCCAGTTAGCTAAACAGGCAGAAGAATAACTCTCCTCCTCTCCTCTCCTCTCCTCTCCTCTCCTCTCCTCTCCTCTCCTCTCCTCTCCTCTCCTCTCCTCTCCTCTCCTCTCCCCTCCCCTCCCCTCCTCTCCTCTCCTCTCCTCTCCTCTCCTCTCCTCTCCTCTAGTGGTCAACTTGGGTCCAGGTGAGGAGCGGTCGGAAGATGCAGTGATGATGAACACTCCGGTGGTAGTGTCGGCTCTAGAGATGGGATTTGAGCGTGGCCTGGTCAAGCAGACGGTACATAATATAATTATTTTCCATTACGCAGAGGGACTCACTGTCCTGTGTGTCTGTAATAATACACTGAACTAAAATATTAACGCAACATGTAAAGTGTTGGTCTCATGTTTCATGAGCTGAAATAAAAGATTCCAGACATTTTTCCATACTCACAGAAAGCGTATATCTCTAAAATGTTGTGCACAAATGTGTTAACATCCCTGTTAGTGAGCATTTCTCCTTTGCCCAGATAATCCATCCACCTGACAGGTGTGGCATATCAAGAAGCTGATTAAACAGCATGATCATTACACAGGTGCACCTTGTGCTGGGGACAATAAGGCCACTAAAATGTGCAGTTTTGTCACAACACAATGCCACAGATGTCTCAAGTTTTGAGGGAGCGTGCAGTTGGCATGTTGACTGCAGGAATGTCCACCAGAGCTGTTGCCAGAGAATGTAATGTTAATTTCTCTACCATAAGCCGCCTCCAATGTCGTTTTAGAGAATTTGGCAGTACGTCCAACTGACCTCACAACCGCAGACCACATGTATGGAGTCGTGTGGGCGAGCGGTTTGCTGATGTCAACGTTGTGAACAGAGTGCCCCGTGGTGGCGGTGGGGTTATGGTATGGCAGGCATAAGCTACGGACAACGAACACATTTGCATTTTATTGATGGCAATTTGAATGCACAGAGATACCGAGACCAGATCCTGAGACCCATTTTTTGTAAGGTCTCTGTGACCAACATATGCATATCTGTATTCCCAGTCATGTGAAATCCATAGATTAGGGCCTAATGAATTTATTTCAATTGACTGATTTCCTTTATATGAACTGTTACTCAGTAAAATCTTTGAAATTGTTGCATGTTGCGTTTAATATTTTTGTTCAGTATATATTTCTATTAAGCACTGTCCTGTGTGTCTATAATCTCCAGGTCCAGAGTAAGATCCTGACCAGCGGAGAGAACTACAAGACCGTCCAGGAGCTAGTCTCAGACCTGCTGTCTGCCGAGGACCAGAAGAGAGAGGAGGAGAGAGAGATGCTGGCTGAGGAGATGGCTTCAGGTACGGCTGATATGAGGGAGGGAGAGGAGGAGAGAGAGATGCTGGCTGAGGAGATGGCTTCAGGTACGGCTGATATGAGGGAGGGAGAGGAGGAGAGAGAGATGCTGGCCGAGGAGATGGCTTCAGGTACGGCTGATATGAGGGAGGGAGAGGAGGAGAGAGAGATGCTGGCCGAGGAGATGGCTTCAGGTACGGCTGATATGAGGGAGGGAGAGGAGGAGAGAGAGATGCTGGCCGAGGAGATGGCTTCAGGTACGGCTGATATGAGGGAGGGAGAGGAGGAGAGAGAGATGCTGGCCGAGGAGATGGCTTCAGGTACGGCTGATATGAGGGAGGGAGAGGAGGAGAGAGAGATGCTGGCTGAAGAGATGGCTTCAGGTACGGCTGATATGAGGGAGGGAGAGGAGGAGAGAGAGATGCTGGCTGAAGAGATGGCTTCAGGTACGGCTGATATGAGGGAGGGAGAGGAGGAGAGAGAGATGCTGGCTGAAGAGATGGCTTCAGGTACGGCTGATATGAGGGAGGGAGAGGAGGAGAGAGAGATGCTGGCTGAAGAGATGGCTTCAGGTACGGCTGATATGAGGGAGGGAGAGGAGGAGAGAGAGATGCTGGCTGAAGAGATGGCTTCAGGTACGGCTGATATGAGGGAGGGAGAGGAGGAGAGAGAGATGCTGGCTGAAGAGATGGCTTCAGGTACGGCTGATATGAGAGAGAGGAGGAGAGAGAGATGCTGGCCGAGGAGATGGCTTCAGGTACGGCTGATATGAGAGAGAGGAGGAGAGAGAGATGCTGGCTGAAGAGATGGCTTCAGGTACGGCTGATATGAGGGAGGGAGAGGAGGAGAGAGAGATGCTGGCTGAAGAGATGGCTTCAGGTACGGCTGATATGAGGGAGGGAGAGGAGGATAGATGCTGGCTGAAGAGATGGCTTGTGGTACAGAAGACGTTTTCAAAAACACAGCTGTCTCTAGGGTTCAAATCAAATTGTATTTGTCATATGCTTACACAACAGGTGTATACCAATAGAGGAATAAATACACAATGAGTAACGATAACTTGGCTATATACACGGCGTACCAGTACCTAGTCGATGTGCAGGGGTACCAGGTGATAACTTGGTTATATACAGGGAGTACCAGTACTGAGTCGATGTGCAGGGGTACCAGGTAATAACTTGGTTATATACAGGGAGTACCAGTACTGAGTCCATGTGCAGGGGACAAGGTAATTGAGGTAGATAGGTACATATAGGTAGGGGTAAAGTGACTAGTCAACAGGATAGATAATAGACAGTAGCAGCAGTATACTGTAGGTAGGGGTAAAGTGACTAGACAACAGGATAGATAATAGACAGTAGCAGCAGTATACTGTAGGTAGGGGTAAAGTGACTAGTCAACAGGATAGATAATAGACAGTAGCAGCAGTATACTGTAGGTAGGGGTAAAGTGACTAGTCAACAGGATAGATAATAGACAGTAGCAGCAGTATACTGTAGGTAGGGGTAAAGTGACTAGTCAACAGGATAGATAATAGACAGTAGCAGCAGTATACTGTAGGTAGGGGTAAAGGGACTAGGCAACAGGATAGATAATAGACACTAGCAGCAGTATACTGTAGGTAGGGGTAAAGTGACTAGACAACAGGATAGATAATAGACAGTAGCAGCAGTATACTGTAGGTAGGGGTAAAGGGACTAGACAACAGGATAGATAATAGACAGTAGCAGCAGTATACTGTAGGTAGGGGTAAAGTGACTAGACAACAGGATAGATAATAGACAGTAGCAGCAGTATACTGTAGGTAGGGGTAAAGTGACTAGGCAACAGGATAGATAATAGACAGTAGCAGCAGTATACTGTAGGTAGGGGTAAAGGGACTAGACAACAGGATAGATAATAGACAGTAGCAGCAGTATACTGTAGGTAGGGGTAAAGTGACTAGACAACAGGATAGATAATAGACAGTAGCAGCAGTATACTGTAGGTAGGGGTAAAGTGACTAGACAACAGGATAGATAATAGACAGTAGCAGCAGTATACTGTAGGTAGGGGTAAAGTGACTAGGCAACAGGATAGATAATAGACAGTAGCAGCAGTATACTGTAGGTAGGGGTAAAGTGACTAGACAACAGGATAGATAATAGACAGTAGCAGCAGTATACTGTAGGTAGGGGTAAAGTGACTAGGCAACAGGATAGATAATAGACAGTAGCAGCAGTATACTGTAGGTAGGGGTAAAGTGACTAGACACAGGATAGATAATAGACAGTAGCAGCAGTATACTGTAGGTAGGGGTAAAGTGACTAGTCAACAGGATAGATAATAGACAGTAGCAGCAGTATACTGTAGGTAGGGGTAAAGTGACTAGGCAACAGGATAGATAACAGACAGTAGCAGCAGTATACTGTAGGTAGGGGTAAAGTGACTAGACAACAGGATAGATAATAGACAGTAGCAGCAGTATACTGTAGGTAGGGGTAAAGTGACTAGACAACAGGATAGATAATAGACAGTAGCAGCAGTATACTGTAGGTAGGGGTAAAGGGACTAGGCAACAGGATAGATAATAGACAGTAGCAGCAGTATACTGTAGGTAGGGGTAAAGGGACTAGACAACAGGATAGATAATAGACAGTAGCAGCAGTATACTGTAGGTAGGGGTAAAGGGACTAGACAACAGGATAGATAATAGACAGTAGCAGCAGTATACTGTAGGTAGGGGTAAAGGGACTAGGCAACAGGATAGATAATAGACAGTAGCAGCAGTATACTGTAGGTAGGGGTAAAGTGACTAGGCAACAGGATAGATAATAGACAGTAGCAGCAGTTTATGTGACGAGTCAAAAGAGTGCAAAAGGGGGTCACAATGCAGATAGTCCGGGTAGCTATTTGATTAACTATTTAACTAACTATTTAGCAGTCTTATGAATTGGGGGTAGACACTGTTCAGGGTCCTGTTGGTTCCAGACTTTGTGCATCGTTACCGCTTGCTATGCAGTAGCAAAGAGAACAGTCTATGACTAGGGTGGCTGGAGTCTGACAATTTTGAGGGCCTTCCTCTGACACCGCCTGGTATAGAGGTCCTGGATGGCAGGAAGCTTGGCCCCAGTGATGTACTGGGCCGTACGCACTACCCTCTGTAGTGCCTTGTGGTCGGAGGCCGAGCAGTTGCCATACCAGGCAGTGATGCAACCAGTCAGGATGCTCTCGATGGTGCAGCTGTAGAACGTTTAGAGGATCTGAGGGCCCATGACAAATCCTTTCATTCTCCTGAGGGGGAAGAGGTGTTGTCTTGCCCTCTTCACGACTGTCTTGGTGTGTGTGGACCATGATAATTCCTTAGTGATGTGGACACCGAGGAACTTGAAGCTTTCGACCCGCTCCACTACAGCCCTGTCGATGTGAATATTCGGCCCCCGTTTCCTGTAGTCCACTATCAGCTCCTTTGTCTTGCTGACGTTGAGGGAGAGGTTGTTGTCCTGACAACACACAACTGGGTTGTGCTAATTAATAAGGTTCTGGTGCCAGAGTCCAACTTGACCGAACCCAAACGTTCTCTCTCCCTCCCCAACCCTCTCTCTCCCTCCCCCAACCCTCTCTCTCCCTCCCCAACTCTCTCTCTCCCTCCCCAACCCTCTCTCTCCCTCCCCAACCCTCTCTCCCTCCCCCCCAACCCTCTCTCTCCTCCCCAACTCTCTCTCTCCCTCCCAACTCTCTCTCTCCCTCCCAAACTCTCTCTCTCCTAACCCAAAATCTCTCTCCCTCCCCAACTCTCTCTCTCCCTCCCTCCAACTCTCTCTCCCTCCCCAACTCTCTCTCTCCCTCCCCCCAACGCTCTCTCCCTCCCCCCAACGCTCTCTCCCTCCCCAACTCTCTCTCTCTCTCCTTTCCCTCCCTCAACTCTCTCCCCTCTCCCTCCCCAACTCTCTCTCTCTCCCAACTATTTCTTTCTCTCCTGTCTCTCCCCTCTCCCAACTCTCTCTCTCCCCTCTCCCTCCCCCAACTCTCTCTCTCCCAACTATTTCTCTCTCCCCTGTCTCTCCTTACTCCCCCATCCAGATGGTATTTCGTTCTTGAAGAGACACCAGCCAGCGTTGGTTCAGCGTCTGAAGAGTGTTGAGTCTGTCCTGGAGCACCTCCGAGAGCAGAACGTCATCAGTACGTCTTTACACTACTGACATACTACTACAGTACTAATGAATATTATTATGTTGTGAAGAGTGTTGAGTCTGTCCTGGAACATCATCAGGATGTTTTTACACTACTGAAATACTACTACAGTACTAATACATGGTATATACTACAAGCTACCACTACTATACTACTATATTCATGTTTAGTCGGTCCTGGAGCGCCTCCGTCATCAGTACCACTTTATATTATTACTAATATACTACTACATGTTAACATACTACTACAGCACTATATTGATGTTATGATACCTCTAGGTGGAGAGGAGTACAGTGGACTCCAGGGCCAGTCCTCTCAGCAGCAGACAGCCAGACTGATAGACTTGGTCTTGACTAAAGGGAACGCAACAGCTGAGGTCTTCAGGAACTGGATCCAGAAGAACGATGTCTACCTGCTCCGAGACCTCATGGGTAAAACATCACCTGTGACCCTTCACCTTGAACATCCTTCACTGTGCCTCTCCCTAACCCCTAGTCCCCTCACTCCCTAACTCCTATTCCCTTCTGCTGCTAATCCCTAGTTTCCTAACCCCTAGCTCCCTAACCCATAGTTTCCTAATGCCTAGTTCCCTAGTCCCTTAGCTCCCTAACCCCTAGTCCCCTAATCCCTAGTCCCTTCTGCTCCCTAACCCCTAGTCCCCTCACTCCCTAACTCCTATTCCCTTCTGCTGCTAATCCCTAGTTTCCTAACCCCTAGTTTCCTAATGCCTAGTTCCCTAGTCCCTTAGCTCCCTAACCCCTAGTCCCCTAAGCTCCCTAACCCCTAGTCCCTAATCTCCCTAACCCCTAGTCCCTAACCCCCCTAACCCCTAAGCTCCCTAACCCCTAAGCTCCCTAACCCCTAAGCTCCCTAACCCCTAAGCTCCCTAACCCCTTGTCCCTAAGCTCCCTAACCCCTAGTCCCTAAGATCCCTAACCCCTAGTCCCTAAGATCCCTAACCCCTAGTCCCTAAGATCCCTAACCCCTAGTCCCTTCTGCTCCCTAACCCCTAGTCCCTTCTGCTCCCTAACCCCTAGTCCCTAAGCTCCCTAACCCCTAGTCCCTAAGCTCCCTAACCCCTAAGCTCCCTAACCCCTAGTCCCTTAGCTCCCTAACTCCTATTCCCTTCTGCTGCTAATCCCTAGTTTCCTAACCCCTAGCTCCCTAACCCATAGTTTCCTAATGCCTAGTTCCCTAGTCCCTTAGCTCCCTAACCCCTAGTCCCCTAATCCCTAGTCCCTTCTGCTCCCTAACCCCTAGTCCCTTAGCTCCCTAACCCCTAGTCCCCTAATCCCTAGTCCCTTCTGCTCCCTAACCCCTAGTCCCCTCACTCCCTAACTCCTATTCCCTTCTGCTGCTAATCCCTAGTTTCCTAACCCCTAGTTTCCTAATGCCTAGTTCCCTAGTCCCTTAGCTCCCTAACCCCTAGTCCCCTAAGCTCCCTAACCCCTAGTCCCTAATCTCCCTAACCCCTAGTCCCTAACCCCCCTAACCCCTAAGCTCCCTAACCCCTAGTCCCTAAGCTCCCTAACCCCTAAGCTCCCTAACCCCTAAGCTCCCTAACCCCTAAGCTCCCTAACCCCTTGTCCCTAAGCTCCCTAACCCCTAGTCCCTAAGATCCCTAACCCCTAGTCCCTAAGATCCCTAACCCCTAGTCCCTAAGATCCCTAACCCCTAGTCCCTTAGCTCCCTAACCCCTAGTCCCTTCTGCTCCCTAACCCCTAGTCCCTAAGCTCCCTAACCCCTAGTCCCTAAGCTCCCTAACCCCTAAGCTCCCTAACCCCTAGTCCCTTAGCTCCCTAACCCCTAGTCCCTTCTGCTCCCTAACCCCTAGTCCCTTCTGCTCCCTAACCCTTAGTCCCTAAGCTCCCTAACCCCTAGTCCCCTAACCCCTAGTCCCTTAGCTCCCTAGTCCCTAAGCTCCCTAACCCCTAGTCCCTAAGCTCCCTAACTCCTATTCCCTTCTGCTGCTAATCCCTAGTTTCCTAACCCCTAGTTTCCTAATGCCTAGTTCCCTAGTCCCTTAGCTCCCTAACCCCTAGTCCCCTAAGCTCCCTAACCCTTAGTCCCTAACCCCCCTAACCCCTAAGCTCCCTAACCCCTAGTCCCTAAGCTCCCTAACCCCTAAGCTCCCTAACCCCTTGTCCCTAAGCTCCCTAACCCCTAGTCCCTTCTGCTCCCTAACCCCTAGTCCCTAACCCCTAGTCCCTTCTGCTCCCTAACCCCTAGTCCCTTAGCTCCCTAACCCCTAGTCCCTTCTGCTCCCTAACCCCTAGTCCCTAAGCTCCCTAACCCCTAGTCGATAAGCTCCCTAACCCCTAGTCCCTAAGATCCCTAACCCCTAGTCCCTAAGCTCCCTAACCCCTAGTCCCTAAGCTCCCTAGTCCCTAAGCTCCCTAACCCCTAGTCCCTAAGCTCCCTAGTCCCTAAGCTCCCTAACCCCTAGTCCCTAAGCTCCCTAACCCCTAGTCCCTAAGATCCCTAACCCATAGTCCCCTAACCCCTAGTCCCCTAACCCCTAGTCCCTTAGCTCCCTAACCCCTAGTCCCTTCTGCTCCCTAACCCCTAGTCCCTAAGCTCCCTAACCCCTAGTCCCTAAGCTCCCTAACCCCTAGTCGATAAGCTCCCTAACCCCTAGTCCCTAAGCTCCCTAACCCCTAGTCCCTAAGATCCCTAACCCCTAGTCCCTAAGCTCCCTAACCCCTAGTCCCTAAGCTCCCTAGTCCCTAAGCTCCCTAACCCCTAGTCCCTAAGCTCCCTAACCCCTAGTCCCTTCTGCTCCCTAACCCCTAGTCCCTTAGCTCCCTAACCCCTAAGCTCCCTAACCCCTAAGCTCCCTAACCCCTAGTCCCTAGTCCCCTAACCCCTAAGCTCCCTAACCCCTAGTCCCTTAGCTCCCTAACCCCTAAGCTCCCTAACCCCTAGTCCCTTAGCTCCCTAACCCCTAGTCCCTTAGCTCCCTAACCCCTAGTCCCCTAACCCCTAGTCCCTAAGCTCCCTAACCCCTAGTCCCTAAGCTCCCTAGTCCCTAAGTTCCCTAACCCCTTCTGCTCCCTAACCCCTAGTCCCTAAGCTCCCTAACCCCTAGTCCCTAAGCTCCCTAACCCCTAAACTCCCTAACCCCTAAACTCCCTAGTCCCTAAACTCCCTAACCCCTAGTCCCTAAGCTCCCTAACCCCTAGTCCCTAATCTCCCTAACCCCTAGTCCCTAAGCTCCCTAACCCCTAGTCCCTTCTGCTCCCTAACCCCTAGTCCCTTAGTCCCCTAACCCCTAGTCCATTAGCTCCCTAACCCCTAGTCCCTTAGCTCCCTAACCCCTAGTCCCTTAGCTCCCTAACCCCTAGTCCCTTCTGCTCCCTAACCCCTAGTCCCTTAGCTCCCTAACCCATAGTCTCCTAACCCCTAGTCCCCAAACCCCTAGTCCCTTAGCTCCCTAACCCCTAGTCATGGGGTGTGCAACTCCAGCCCTCCAGGTTTGGGAAGGATGGTAGGATATGTTGTAGCGTTCTGAGCTTGTCTGTGAGAATGATTGGTGGTTGGGTTAGAGGTCAGCCTACTAAACCATCAGATTGACCCGTCCTTGTATAGAAAGGTTAGCCTGAGTTATAAAGTATCTTCTTGTTCAGTTAGTCCCACTTCACCCAGTCCAGTCCAGTTAGTCCCACTTCACCCAGTTCAGTCCAGTTAGTCCCACTTCACCCAGCTCAGTTCAGTCCAGTTCGTCCCACTTCACCCAGCTCAGTTCAGTCCAGTTAGTCCCACTTCACCCAGCTCAGTTCAGTCCAGTTAGTCCCACTTCACCCAGTTCAGTCCTAGTTAGTCCCACTTCACCCAGCTCATTTCAGTCCAGTTAGTCCCACTTCACCCAGTCCAGTCCAGTTAGTCCCACTTCACCCAGTCCAGTCCAGTCCAGTTAGTCCCACTTCACCCAGTCCAGTCCAGTTAGTCCCACTTCACCCAGTCCAGTCCAGTCCAGTTAGTCCCACTTCACCCAGTTCAGTCCAGTTAGTCCCACTTCACCCAGTCCAGTCCAGTTAGTCCCACTTCACCCAGTCCAGTCCAGTTAGTCCCACTTCACCCAGCTCAGCACAGTCCAGTTAGTCCCACTTCACCCAGTCCAGTCCAGTTAGTCCCACTTCACCCAGTCCAGTCCAGTTAGTCCCACTTCACCCAGTCCAGTCCAGTCCAGTTAGTCCCACTTCACCCAGTCCAGTCCAGTTAGTCCCACTTCACCCAGTCCAGTCCAGTCCAGTTAGTCCCACTTCACCCAGTTCAGTCCAGTTAGTCCCACTTCACCCAGTCCAGTCCAGTTAGTCCCACTTCACCCAGTCCAGTCCAGTTAGTCCCACTTCACCCAGTCCAGTCCAGTTAGTCCCACTTCACCCAGCTCAGCCCAGTCCAGTTAGTCCCACTTCACCCAGTCCAGTCCAGTTAGTCCCACTTCACCCAGTTCAGTCCAGTTAGTCCCACTTCACCCAGCTCAGTTCAGTCCAGTTCGTCCCACTTCACCCAGCTCAGTTCAGTCCAGTTAGTCCCACTTCACCCAGCTCAGTTCAGTCCAGTTAGTCCCACTTCACCCAGTTCAGTCTAGTTAGTCCCACTTCACCCAGTTCAGTCCAGTTAGTCCCACTTCACCCAGTCCAGTCCAGTTAGTCCCACTTCACCCAGTCCAGTCCAGTCCAGTTAGTCCCACTTCACCCAGTTCAGTCCAGTTAGTCCCACTTCACCCAGTCCAGTCCAGTTAGTCCCACTTCACCCAGTCCAGTCCAGTTAGTCCCATTCACCCAGTCCAGTCCGGTTAGTCCCACTTCACCCCAGCTCAGCCCAGTCCAGTTAGTCCCACTTCACCCAGTCCAGTTCCAGTTAGTCCCACTTCACCCAGTTCAGTCCAGTTAGTCACACTTCACCCAGCTCAGTTCAGTCCAGTTCGTCCCACTTCACCCAGCTCAGTTCAGTCAGTTAGTCCACTTCACCCAGCTCAGTTCAGTCCAGTTAGTCCCACTTCACCCAGTTAGTCTAGTTAGTCCCACTTCACCCAGTTCAGTCCAGTTAGTCCCCACTTCACCCAGTCCAGTCAGTTCGTCCCACTTCACCCAGTCCAGTCCAGTCCAGTAGTCCCACTTCACCCAGTCCAGTCCAGTTAGGCCCACTTCACCCAGTCCAGTCCAGTCCAGTTAGTTGTCCCACTTCACCCAGTTCAGTCCAGTTAGTCCCACTTCACCCAGTCCAGTCCAGTTAGTCCCACTTCACCCAGTCCAGTCCAGTTAGTCCCACTTCACCCAGCTCAGCACAGTCCAGTTAGTCCCACTTCACCCCAGTCCAGTCCAGTTAGTCCCACTTCACCCAGTCCAGTCCAGTTAGTCCCACTTCACCCAGTCCAGTCCAGTTAGTCCCACTTCACCCAGTCCAGTCCAGTTAGTCCCACTTCACCCAGTCCAGTCCAGTCCAGTTAGTTCCCACTTCACCCAGTTTCAGTCCAGTTAGTCCCACTTCACCCAGTCCAGTCCAGTT